GTGTGTGTGTGTGTGTGTGTGTGTGTGTGTCAACTCGTCTGGGGCTCAGAGTGACAGGGCGAGCAAGGAATCAGTGACACTGTGTGATAAATGACTTGTAATAGGCTGTTTCTGCACAAGAACTGCTCATCTCCAGGCGTCTGTCGCTGGGATCTTTATCTGCACTGGAGGGAATACAAAAAGAGAGCGAGAGGGTAGAGAGACACAGACTGGAAGAAGGAGGTAAAGATGTCAGCTGGAAATCAAAGGTAGTCAAAAGGCTCCACAGTGATTAGATGGTTTTGAGCGTTAGAGGGATAAATTCCCCTCCAAGACACAAACAGGAAATATGTCCCAAGTAAACAAATGTTGTGTCTGTGAGATTATCTGAAATCTGAATTTAAACAAACCACGAGACTGGACCTGGGTGTGATTTGCATTTAATTTCCCCAGTGTTGGTAGCAGGTGTGATAGTGACGATGGGAGGTTCAACAAGCATCTTGAGTGGGACATGAATTGGCTTGTTATGACAATGTAAAGCCTTCAGAAGATGATTCCACATGAGCACTTGTCTCGACCCTCACATATGAACATACAGGTCCCATCCTGGTTAAAGAGTCAAGATGTTCCAGGCGTATTTGATGCCAACAAAACTAATGACTAACTAAGAACCAACTAAATGTAACTACGGGTTTGATAGTGCAGACGTGCAACATGATGGTTCTCTAAAAGTGAAACCAAAAAGTTCTTGATCACCACCTGGTGGCTGGTTGCAGTATATGTCATAAATCCTGCCTCCTCCATGTTCGTGAATGGTGCCAAACATGAAGTCAGGGTGGATGGATATTTGATTAAATATGGTTTCTGTAATTTTAGGTGGTTCTTATCACCGATGTTTGTCCAAATGCAAATGTTCCTGGTTTTAATCAGTTATTTGACACTTTAAAACTGGGTGAAACTTCATGATTGAGACTCAGACTCTGGCTCAAAAGGCACAAGTTGGCAATGATCGCATCTTGGATATTTGAGCCTCATCTTTGGATAGTGGGAGGAATCTGAAATGCATTGTCAGTCAAATTCTATGGTAGTAATAGGCTGTACGTAAGAACAAACTATGGGCTTTAATTTTGTTAGCATGCATTAGACAAGGTAAACAAACCAACTGCCTGTCTCTGTCTTCTTCAGGTCAGAATAAGGACACAGTTCTGGTTCATTCTGCACTAATCACATATAGTTTTCTGCCATATTTCTTCCAACCGGTGTCTTTCAAGTGTAAAACTGGAACCTTAGAGGCAGAAAAATGTAAAAAGCTATCAATGCTGATCTACACAAGAGAAGTAAATGCAGTAAATGTGCTTTAAATGAACGACTGTTTCCTTTCACTGCAGCCAAACTGGGACAGCGAGTAAAAGAATAAAAAGCAAGCTAAGAAAGAGAGATTTATTGGATATCTACCCTCTGCTTTCTACAGCCAGGACATTTTAACGAGGACATAAACATCACAGACCTCATAGATCTCGGATCAATGGCTAAGAAAGACGGCTTGCTGGGCCAATAGGACTGCATCAGGGTTCTGTTATTGATTATGTTGTTACAAAGTGAGGATGTAACTTTACTGCTGCTGTGTGTAAATATATTTTCACTTATTTAGTTTTGGAAGAAACTCTTGTTCCTCATGCTGAGCAACGTCTCATCCACCCCTCGTCCCCATTTAGCTCTTACATCGACTGCCACCATTTCACTCCACAATGAAAAAAAATGACCACTCATTTCCAATCCTGATCTCAGTGTCTCTTGGACTGAACCTTTATCGGGCTGATGTTGTTCTGAAGTATTTCCTTAAAGTGGTAACCTCTTACTTGACTAAAGTTTGCTCCTCAAACTCAAAGTTCAAACTGAGCGTGATAGAAAACGCTGCCTTTAGCTTTGAGAATATTTCAGCTCCAGCAGGTTACCGTGGATCCACATTTGCTTTCAAAAGCGATAGTGCAGAATAAAATGTTTTTAGAACCGGCTGCTCTTTGCCACAGCACCTTAACTGCTCGTGTAGAGAGACCATGAAGGGCAGGACCCTGAAGCTACCTGCTCGCATTGTTAGTAAAGTGAGGGCCAGAGAAGGCGGAGTAGAGATCACAGTCTTTACATGAGTGGTAGAAAAAAGGATTATAAATGTGCCCTCACATTGTGTATTTACAAATAACTATGATTCTTCTGATCCATGTTGGTGTTATCACTGTTATGCAGTCGTTTGCAACTGACCAAATCACACCACAAAGGACCAATGTCAGGAAAGAATAGAGGGAAATTTACAGGATAACCAAAACCTGTAAGATTTATCCTCCTGGAAACATGAATGTCTGCACAGTATTTCATCACAATCCATCCAGCGGTAGTTTCATCAGTCGAGAAGAAAGTGGTGCACGGCAGCCTGGAGCCATGTCTGTGCCACAGTCAAGCTGCCGATCGTACTGTCGACATACCTTTGACGAGTGAATTGAGAATATAAGATAATGAAAAGTATAATTTGGAAAATTCCACTATTTATGTAACAATTCTCCTGAAAATGAATGGGTGGGCTTGGAAATGAACTCCTAAGAGTTTGCATGTGTGAATTTGGGATGCACCAGTCTGTGTGTGTCGAATAAAATTGTAATGTGCACAGAAAGCTGGAGATTGACAACTTGACTGAAAGTTATATGAACACTATATATTGTAGGAAGGTAAGATCATCCTGCAAGGTAAATAAAAAAGCCCCAGTTCACTAGCTCAAAGAAAACAGAGCAGAAACTGATTTAGTTGGAGAGTAAACACTGAAACATTGATATATGAGGCTGAGTGATACCAGTAGCAGACTATGACTTATAAAACCTTTTCTTTCCCAACCTAGAGTCTTGTGTCATCTAGAGTTTGACCGTATAAGTGTGTGAGGACAATTTTCAAAGTGCTTATAGTCCTGCAGAGGTTTAACTGATCTTAATTTTAATTAATTATGTGCACAGGGTCTTTAAACAAGCTGTGGATCCTGACTCCTAACCAGCCTTCTAAATTTGCTCATAATTAACTCGGTTCAGGAAGCAAAGACTCCAGGAGTCAAACGAAAGGAGGGGCAGTGAAAATCATCAAGGGCTCCTTCAAGGGAAGAGGGAGGAGGAAGTGAGGAGGATGGAACCGGGACAGGAAGAGGAAGCAAAGGAATAGGAAGGTGTCAATTTACAAGTACAAAGAAACAAGGTCTACACCAGTAAATAAACACTTTATCACATGTGCAATAACCTGGCACTATTCATAGAAAATATCAGCAAGTGAAGCCTTGTGGAAAAATAATAATCCTCAGTGTTTCAGCACATCCAGAAGGAGAACCATCCATATTTTAGCCAAATTGACTGTATTGATGAATAAAGTCTTTTTACAGCTTTTTAAAGAAGAAAATGGACTAAGCTGCTTGTTGACAGTGTCAGGGTGTAAAAAAAAACACTGATTCAAATTAAATACTGGCTTCAAGCACCCATCATCGCTCTCAAGTTAATTATCAGGTACAGCAGCACAACAAGAAGGAGGCAGAGGTTTGTATTTTGGGGAGTTTGAGGATATGGAACGGAAGTGTTTCGCTTTTGAAGTGATCACTATTTAAGACATATAATTAAAAGTAAAAAATAAAATAATCTTTAATATAGCTGCCACTGGACTGGATTAGCTGAAGGTGTCTAACCAGATGCACTAACAGCATGGATGACCTTTTCCAGATGGAAGAAAAATGGATAAAAATGTCTTATTTTAATATTTATCTGCAAAGTGATATATTTAACCTTAAGATAGGAGACAATCAACTTATAAACCCCAAAGGTGAGACTCTGCTACTGTCCCTACCTGCTCCTCCCTTGTTTGGTTTGTCCTGCAGGTTGGTGTATTGTTGTCTCCTTTAACATCCAGCATTTTGCAGATGGGAGAACAAGGCAGGAGGAGCTCTGGTGCAAAAAGAATGGAAGTATAAATTATTCTCGCAAATCAGAGGATGGAGCACAGAGTAAAACATGACGGCTGGGACCGTGACACAAGTTCTCAGAGACAAAACAAATAGAAGAGGTCACAAAGTGCTGCAGCTAACGTATTTTGAAGCTACAAGACTAATGCTCTACTGAGATATGCAATGCCTGTAAATTACTTTAAGTACATTTATTTATTTAAAGATATCATGATCTATCTTGGGGATTGGTAACATTAACACAAGTGTACGAAGGGTATGAGGTTCAGTTTCATTTTCAGTCGTCTACAATTCTATGAACTGAAATGGGCGTTTTTACTTCTTTCCCTGAAGATCGATTTTCTTATTGTTAGGTGACATCTGGTCTGCGAGGACAATAAGTCTGGAGGTTGACAATGATAAATTCCTGCACTGATTTAATTTACATTTTATTATATGGTGTTGTGGATTGTAAGATACCTTGTTATTTAGTTCATTTTTTTAATATTAGATAAATGAGCCATCTTTCATTACACTGGAATCAAGACTGAGAATATGAATCTATTTATTCAACCGGTTTCTATATTTTACAAGTGCCACCGGAAATAATTTGAATATATTCATTGAATCGGGTATTTAAGTTGTGCACTCACCTTGTGCATCATAATTTGTTAAGTTGTTGACACCACATGTTGATCGAGTGTCACTGACAAACAGATCCACACTGTGGCAAATGTTAAAATGCAGTCAGAGCCACACTCGGTGTGAGAAATCAATGTGTAAGTCCTGAAGGCTATTTTTTTGGCAGAAAAGAAGAAAAGTTGGATGATTAAACTGAAAATAAAAGTTGTGTAGAGTTCAAACAACAAAACTTGAGTTCAAACGTGCTCTTTCTGTGACCTCAAGAGAAAACAGTTTGTGAAATAAACTTATTTACTACCATGACTAGAGTTGAAGAGACGTCTCAAACATACAAGATATAATAAGAAAACTTTTGTTAAGATTTGTAAAGAAGCACGTTTAGTGTGTCTTATATATAATATATATAATAACTTCAGTGGAGGCTGGTCAAGCTCCCAGTATACAGCCATCAGATGGTGAGTCTTGTGTGAATAAACTAAGGAATGGAAACTTGGTAGACGATAATGCAAGTCAAGGTCGGATGTGCTTGATCTTCTTTTAAGCTGGATGGATGGAGAAAGTTTTCGCCTTGAGGGGATACAGACTGGACGAGAGAAGTTGTTGCAGCATCTATTCATTGTCAATCTATTTCTGAATTTATTTAACCCTGAATTTATTTATTTAAGAAGTCAGGCTGAGCATTTACGCCAAAATACAGTGTAAAGGCAGCTGACTGGTGAAATCCAACACTAATGTCAAAGAGCAATGAGGCAGTGGATTTCACTTATTGTTCTTTTAAACACTGTCCTCATATGTATGACGTTTTTGTGCAGCAGAGAGAGAACTCCCTTGTCTGCAGTTTTAAACAACTTAGCCAAAACCCAATATGAATATGTAATAATAATGACTAATGTATTCAGGAAGCCTACAGGGCAGAGCTTGTGAACACTTATAAATATAAATACAACCTGAGAAAAAAAGAAATCTCATCAGAATTTCCAATCACTGCTGCTGATTCTACGATATCAAATCCATTTTTAACAGCTGCATTAAATTTGCACATATTTCCAAAGGCAGTGATATGATTCTGTGTAAATTGCAAAGAGAATGTAAAAAAACCTTTTAATCTGTGTTGATCTTTGAGATCATGGGACAGATTAAGAAAGAAAATGCCCACAGCGTTCTTTATAACCTTTATAACAAGCAAACACAGAGATATGCTACTCTCCAACAAGCCTGCAGGTCAGACAGGACACCAGGGAAACACTGTCTTCACACCCTGCAGGGCAAGTCTCAACACGCGTGGTAACCGGGCAGACAATGTAAACCAAAAAATAAAAAAGGAAAACAATAATAGTAATTATAACAACATTAAAACAGTCTGCAGTTGCAGTCAGTATGCAAAGGGAAGGACTTCAAATTAATCCACAATAGGAAACGACTTTGGCAAGAAAACTGTTCCTCTAACCTTTTCCTACCACCCACTCATGTTGTTAATGATGATGCCACCGGGAATTATAAAACACAGCAAACTGAATGTTGCAGTAAATGTCATTAGAATTTCTCTAATTGAGTATATAATTGATATCATTATGGTATAAAAAGTAAATCATATAATGTTTTACACAGCATATCTACATATCCTGTAAATCAGGCATCAAACTGTCTGTGCACTGTCTCTGCTACAAAACACCCATCTCATAAACTCTCATGAGATGGTGTGACATAGTCTGGGACATCTTTTGTCCCTTTTTCCTCTCATCACACCACAAATAATTTAACTAAACTTCTAACTTGTTTGTTTTAACCATATTGTTGAGCTGTAGCTTGGAAACACATGATGTTATTGTGTTGTTTGCTTTTGAGTAAAGTTTCATTTATAGTTTTTGGTTCACTTTGATTTTTCACAAGATAATAATCTTAATTTCTTCGGTGCTCACCTTAGATGCCATGTGCTCCAGGAACAAAAAAAGAGGAGGAGGCTGAACACTTCCTCTATTTATGTCCTGGATGACATCAGTAGTGATGTCACAGGGAGCAACCAAGTGTGAGGGCAGGGGTGGGTTTGTGTTAGCCACTGTAGTTTTATGTATGTTGAGTAAAGAGTAGTTTTATTCTGTTAAATTGACTTAACTGTTAAATTGTTCTTTTATTTGACCATATTTTCTACTGTTACTGACTCTGCCTCCTACGACTGTGAGGCCACTCTGGTCAGACTTCCCACGGGGAAAACGTTACACTGGTGTTGTGCTTCCCACAATGATAGAATAAGAAACACAAAACAAACACAGCCATAAACTCTGGGTTGTTGTTATTGCACAAGGGTGGCTGTGGCTCAGGGGGTAGAGAGGGTCAACCACGATGCTTTGATCCCTGGCTCCTCCAGTGACTGAACCCCAAATTACCCCCAACAGCTGTTCCAACGGTGCAAGTTGTGTGATAGAGAAAAGTACTGTATAAAGAAGTAGTGGGTGAATGCAACTTGTGCTGTAAGGCGCTTTGGTTGAAAACACTGGATAAGAGCTAAATACATTTACTAGCCTCATCATAATGCAATCATTTTGCTTTCCTTTATAGTATTCCATAATATATTAAATAAACACGATGTAGCCGGGTTCAGACAAAGACTTTAATGTGAACCTGATGTGCATATAATCAAAAAGTCAAAAGCTCAAATAGGGCTCTCACACCCAAATTGATTATACACTCCCTTTTTCATTCAGCTGAAATGAAGTATGAGCGCTCAGCGTGTTACTCTGTAGTCACACTTTGAAATTTAAACTTATTTAAGTTCTAATTAACACTGATATGAAATTCTAGCCTCCCCAAATGTGTCACAGTTTTGGCTGATGACAGCGTGTTTTTGTTGTTGACGACCATGTTTTTCCATTCTACCTCCGACAGGGTGTCACCACTAAATATTCACACTGCTGACACATGCAGACCTGTCAGGCTGTGTTCGTTTCACCACGGCAAAAGAAAAGAGACAGAATTTAACTTCCCACAACCACGTGAGCTTCGAACTCTGAAGAGAGAATATGATTCTGCTCTATCTTCCAAAGTTCCTTATTTATGAGTCGGAAGAATTAATTAGGAATTGTAGCTGCATAATGAGTTAAAAGCTGTTACTCAAATGGAAGAGACAATGAATTCATTACAGTTCACAGAGCTGAACTCTTCTATGTGGATGTTTTATTTTCTCTGCTTTGTCAATGTATGGAATCTGTAACAGGCCACAAATGAGAGAATGAGTAGATTCCCTCATCCTGAAGTGAATGAGTTTCGTTAAGTCATAAAAATGCATCAGTCAATACACCACTCGAGACTTTTAATGGATAACAAGACAAACAAAGGACTACACAAGTGTTTTCATCTCAGGCTGAAGCACGAAATCTGTGTTAATACGAGCCACGAGTGTCTGAACCAAACAATACCATCAAGGTTTCTATGCAGTTTGACAACGAGATAAAACAAATGACATAATTAGAATATGTTTGAGTCTCAATATAAAAAATTATGGTGATAAAATATCCAGGTATCAAAAGTCTGGTGGTTTCATGTCCCAACAACAACAAGCCCCATCTAATTCCACTTCCAGTTTGTTTTACAAATAGTGGATCTAGTGGCAGCAATTTTCAAAGCCCTGCTAGAAAATCACACTTCAAAAAAACATGATTTTGACCTACATCATCGCATATCAAGGACAATTTTAATGCACACTTTAGAAGGCGACTTTTGCTCCTCCAGACTTAAAAGGGCCATTTTATTTGAAGACTAGACCTCACTGTGAAACCGCCCCTCGGAGTGCATTTACCCCGTACGAGAAGATGAGAGAATGATTATAATAAAGACAGCGCAGCCGGATAAAAGGAGAGACCATGACATCCTCGTATTCAAAAATACACTCTGAGAAAACTAAATCAGCAGTTTGTAGTTTAAGGAAGTCAGCTTCCATCGCCAAATACTTGACTGTTAATTCAATTCCGGGAAAAAGCTTTGTTCTCCGTGTGTCGCTGCACTTTCAGTCTGCACCAATCGATCAATCACAGATCAGATTGCACCCCCTCAGAGGTTCATCCAGAAATGTGTTTTCAGTATGTGTTTTTCCTGAAAATAGTAAAATACTCAATAAAGCTTATTGAATATGATTTCCTGACACTGGGTATATGATGATAAGTATTGTTCCAATAGAAGAGAAACTGGGGTAACAGGGTCCCTTAATTGAATAATAGTGACGCTCCACTTGCTCCACTGCTCAGACGCCTGTGCTTCAGTGGTTCCATCAGAGGTAAAGATCGCACTTCTTGTTTTACTCTTGGTTATTTAGTTAAATATTGACTCAGAACAATAACGGTCAGAAATAACGTTGGTAAAATAAAGTGCTCAAAGTCCTGCATGTTCAGGGGGATGGTCCTTTGCGCTGCCGCACACATTTTTTTATCTGTAACCCTAAGGTGACAACAGCTAGGTAACCCGCCCACCACTGTCTTTCTATTTTCAGATGCGCTATTGAAAATGTCCTGATAACGAGGCTGCTGGGAGGATATCAGCTATTCGATCCAGAGAACTCATGAAGGAGAGTAGATATAAAATGAAAATAAAAGGTCCAGAGGAAAGCGGAGAAGACAGACAAGTGTGTTTGAAAGGGGGGGGGCACATAGGTCTTTCACGCTTTTCAGAAATATGACTGAGGCCAATTCTTTTAGTGTCAGCTTTTGCCGTGACGGATCTTCTCTGATCCCACAGGAATTGTGTGAGATGGAAAATGGAGCTCCCACCTGTCCTCTAGAGAAAGTGTTCATATTTCATTTTCACAATGATGTGACTGACTTATTGGGTCAAGCCTACAAGGTGTTCATGATTCCCTGTTTGAAAATATCTTATAAGCGGACTTGTCCAAATAGCACTGACCCCTCAGTTGGTTAGCGGACAAGAGAGAGGATGGTAGCTAAGCTAATAGAATGAATTGGCATTGTATTTCAATCCAAATAATAAATAATAAATGTTTTTGATCAGGTGTCCATGGCTGTGAGAGCCTTAGCAAGTTTTCAGACAAGGGGAACAACAAATGTCAGCTATTAAACATTGGCAAACGGGAGAAAACAATACTGACCCATTGACCTCTGTTTTGGAAAGCCGAACTAATGCTGCCCACCCGTCAAACAGAAACCAAGCAAGGCTTCTGAACTTGTGGGGCTGTTTCTCAATTACATTATTGAGTTAATTTGCCACATTTACATGAGCATGAATGCCCCCCATGAGTGCCACTTTATTGCCCATTCACAGATCCAGGGCTGTGTAGAAACTACTGGACAGCTAGCAGATCGTGAGAAGATGTTCACTGGATTGGACATTCTACTGGATTAGAATCACAGGCGATACGTCTTATGTTTGATAAAGTTTCTGCAGAGTTCAATAACAAAACAGAACTTTTTTTTCTCACAAAATAAAGTCTGAACCTTGAAAATGTACTGCAGAAGTTTTTTCTTTGGATTTCTTGCCACGATGAGAAGCTGGAAATATTAACACCTATCACACAACGATGAAGCCATCTTTTAGCATATCAACACTAATCCAAAATGAATTGAGTACCATGCATTCACACATTCCAGTAATTTTCCGTCTGCTAACAACCACTTACTACAACTCATTTAAATCTTTTACTTCTTTTTTTTGTCAGTTCACTCTGTTCCTCGCCAATAATTGGACTGGCGATAAATACCACAATTTAGAGCTAATCTGGACCCATAATTAGCCAACACTCTGTGCTCAATGCTCTATTTGCCCATAAAAGAAATAGAAATGAAAGTTAAAGCAATGGCACAAAAATGGAAAAACAAGAAACAGAGAGGACAGCGTGAGATATGTGATGTGACGTTAGAAAGTATTTTGCAATAGAAGTGGAGTGTTTAGCAAAAAGCTTCTTTCAATTTTCCTCTGTCTTTCTGGGTAGATTGCTTCAGGCCAATAAATTAGCTCGGGTCAGTTCTCTGATTGCCGTTTTCACAGACATACACAGAGAGATCTGGTTAAATCAAATCCAAGCGATACATCCAAACCAAACAAAGATGGCTCCTCCAGCAATCAGTGGTGCCCATCCTTTCTATCACCATATGTGCCGCATTATTACTCTTTGTCAAGGACGTGTCTGGCCAATTGCCTCCTTTACTCCAGTGAAGTCCTGTTGCTGGCTGCCTAATACACAATTGGACCACAAGAGATGGCAAATGGCCACTGACAAATGACAGTCTCAAACACATGCTGTGTAAGATTGTCGACTTTCAGTCTCAAATAGGGCGAATAACAGAACCATTGAATTTTCACACGTTTAGTTGTTTCGATTGCAATCATTTCGACAATCCAGCTGTGTGGAACTGTAGAGTAAATAATACATGTGCTGTAGTTGAGCAGAACTTATAATCTCCTCGGAAAAACCTTCCGATTGACACCATTTTACTGGAAAGCCAAGACAGCACAATGCTGATCTGACAGATGTGGGTGGATTTTCTG